TATATATATATATATATATATTTTTTTTTTTTTACATTATCATTTAAAATTTCGGAAGCAATATTTATTGTTTTAATTTAGCTCTTGATTTTATTTTCATATCTTTATTTTATTTCAGTTTATGAAGTTTCTGAGTTCACGGGTGTCTCCGCATTTTGGGGGCGTTCGTTTATCCCTGTGATAAATGTGGGCTTTCGCCACACATCTGCGGCTGAGGATTAGCCATAAATCCAGCCTCGCTGACACCATGCTGAATTGTGATGTTGCAGGGACACAGTAAGCCCATCCAGTCGCTGACGGCTCACAGGAATGAGGGCCGGCCTTACATCTACTCCGGGAGCCATGACGGACACATCAATATCCTTTCTGGGGGGTGGCGGCTTCCGGGTCCTTGCTGTTGCCGGTCTGACAGCTAGGTGGCGTGTGGCCGCACCGGAGCATGGGCTCTCCCCTAGTTGCTTTCCTTAACCCCTCCCACATTACTGGGACGCCGAGACTGGGGATAATGACGGATTCTCTGGCAAAGGGCACAGCAACCTGGTAGCCAAGATGGTTGTGAACAAGGACGGCCAGCTGGTCACGTGCAGCATGGACGACACTGTGCGTTTCACCGACCTGAGAAGGAAGGAGTACAGGTGAGCCAGGTAGCTGCTGTGGTGGTCTGCTGTGGTGGTCTGCTGTGGTGGTCTGCTGTGGTGGTCTGCTGTGGTGGTCTCTTGCAATCAGGAATTCCTGCTCTACATGAGGGAGAATAGAATACAGCATTATTCACATTAAAGTTACACACTCGTAATGTTTCCCTTTGCTGCGAACTGCTAAAGATGCTTTGAACTTAGCTTCTCACTTTAACCCCTTACTTGCCTTAATATCTCTACATGCCTTGACCGTCCTTTACCGTCCTGCCTAAGCTGGGCTGCTTCATGCTGGGACCTGTAATTTATTGCCTTTTGTAGCTGATGGGGGGGGTTGGCTGGCATTGGCATTGACTGTTTTCATCACACTTCAGAGAAAATAGTTAGCAGGTCCTTTGAATCTCTGTGCCTGCGAGTTTGTGGCTCATTTTGGGTGGTTTCTTGTACCATTCTTATGGAGCTTTTATTCTCTAGTGCTTCTGACCTGCTGAAGATGGACTTCCAGCCCAAATGCATCGCAGTGGGACCAGGGGGATATGCTTTAGCTGTCTGCATTGGGCAGGTAATCCTGTCGGTCGTGAGTTCAGCGGCCTGTTTAAACTCGTTAAATGTTGCCAAATCATCTGGCCGTCTCCCTCTCTTGTGCACGGACAGCTGGTTCTGATGAAAGACAAGAAGAAGTGCTTCACTCTGGAGAACCTGGGGTTTGAGCCCGAGTCGGCTGCCCTTCACCCAGGAGGCGGGACTGCAGCAGTGGGCGGAGCTGTAAGTGGACCAGTGAAGAGAGAGATGCTGTCTTTAACATAAAATCACTTGTTACACCTGTAACATTGACTGAACATCAGATGTCTAGTGGCCTGAATGTACACTCTGCATATGCCCCTTGCTGGCCTCTGATAGTGTTTCTGTCCCCTCCAGGATGGAATGGTACATTTGTTCTCCATCCAAGGGAACACGCTGAAGGATGATGGGAAGACGATGGAGGCCAAGGGGCCAGTTACGGACATGGCATACTCCAACGACGGTGCCTTCCTGGCTGTGGCAGACGAGAAGAAGGTCATCACGGTTTTCAGCGTGGCTGACGGATACGCCGTAAGTCGGTCGGCGTCTTATGCCTCAGTTGTGGCTGTTTGTTCTTCCTGTGAGAGGTGTCAGGCTTGATTGCGGCCTCCACATCTTCCTCCCCAGGTGAAGAATGACTTCTATGGGCACCATGCCAAGGTGGTCTGCCTAGCCTGGTCCCCGGATAACGAGCACTTTGCCAGCGGGGGCATGGACATGTTGGTCTACCTGTGGGCCGTCAGTGACCCAGACAGGCGGGTTAAGATCCCAGGTGAGTCTGCCTCCTTGAACTCCCGATGCCATGGGGTGGTGTTGGCCGGCGTACGGCGCGGGGGTGTCAGCTGGCCTTGCTTTCATTGGGATCAGAGACCTCCTCCCTTAGCATAAGCCCTCAGTCGGCTGTATGCCTGAATCCAGATGGCAGCCCAGCTCTGCGGGACTGTGTCTAATTTAAGATGTGGGATTGTGTGTCCCTAATGTCCTTTAAGTGAGACCGGTGGCATGCAATGAAATATGTATCTATGTATTAAATATGAATTCTGTCCCCCCCATGACATTCTGGTATCACTCCAAATTAAATCAGCTGAGATTTAATGACTAAAAATACAATTCTGATGGAGAAATGGGAAAATGCAAAACCTAAGCTAGACTCTTGGCTCAATGGGCAGAGCTGGAGCCACTCTGAACACCAGTGTTGGGGGTTCAATGTCTGTCTGTCCAATAACCCCCCACAGTAGTCCTTATCGTAGGTACCCAGCCTCACAGACCCTCTGCCCCCCCCCCACAGATGCCCACCGGCTCCACCACGTCAGCGGCCTGGCCTGGCTGGATGAGCACACCCTAGTGACGGTCTCTCACGATGCCAGCGTCAAGCAGTGGACTGTCAAATTCTAAACCAGCCCCGGGGCCGGAAGTACCGTCAGGGACTAGAACTGCTGTAGAAGTCGTGGCATTTTTACTTTAATTTAACCCCCCACCACCATTTCGGCCCCTCGGCTCACCCTCACCACCGTCATCGCTATGCAGCTCGTGCCTAAAATGTCTTTTCCTTCACCTTAAAAGTTGTAGTGGGGTAACTTACATGAGTGAGATCAGAGTAAGCGGCACTTAGCGTGTCATTCTGCGGGCTTCCCACTCCCGCTCAGTGCTTGACATTCCAGAGGCTGTGCCCCCCCCCCCCCCCCGGCGGGGGGGGGGGGGGGGGGGGGGTCCGCCTCATCCCACTGACTGCAGGTTGTCTATCATCCACAGTGGTCACACTCAGACTGGGGTTTGGGGGAAGAGATGGAGTGAAAAGTGAAAAAGATATTAAAATAAGGTTTATGGTGGAAATACTGTGTACTTGGTGACGCTTTGTATGGTTTTCAGAACCGCATAATGCTTTTTGTATCTCATTCATTGTTTCTGCAGTTTAATGGGTAAATGAATAATTAAATAAATGAATATAAAACCTTTTTGCACAATTCGGATGGTATATGCGCATCCTGTAATCCTGGATTTGAAACATATGGCCCAATTTTTTCTTTAATAAATAAATTTTTATGAGCCGTTAGTTACCGTTGTTATTGGGTTGAATTATCGGGCAGCCCCGCTGAAGATGCATCCATTAAGCCACCAGTGTTCGGCTGGAGACCGGCGAACAGATCCACCTGTCTGCACACCACACAATGGAACACCGCCTAGTGTTACATTATGAAAGAAAAACCCTGGCAGCACGCAATATAAACGTCGTTCTATGCTTTCTATCTCTAATATATTCCTATTTCTAATATATATATCTACAATATATGATGTAATAAATGTGTACGTATATATATATATATATATATATATATATATATACGTACACATTTATTACATCATATATTGTAGATATAGCCTGTAAATAGCTTTGTAGGTGTGTGTGTAGTAGAGTGTCGCAGCGGAAGCGTCTGGGGCCCATAACCCAGAGGTCGATGGATGGAAACCATCTTCTGCTAAGGTTTTCTTCAGATATGTTAAGTTTAGCTTATATGTTGCATAAAGCGATTTTTCCGTGTTCAATTTAGCATTCATGCAAATAGATCCAAGCAACATGTCCCATATACAAAACCATGACATATTTTACAATTAACAGAGCCGTAGACCTACTTATTTAATGTGTACTGGATATTGGTGTATCATCAATATACAGACGCTCCTCTACTTACGAATGATATACATTCCGAACGGCCGTTCGTAACTTGAAATGTTCGTAAGTCGTTATTCAGCATCATTTTAAGGGTATACGCAAGTACAAAGAACTAGGATGATCGGAGTCGGCACGCTACGCTGCTGCGCGACGGGAGTAGCGGCCAGAAGTCGTACTAGGCGGAACTGGCGTGCAGAAAGAAAAATGATGTTGCGGACAGGAAACGGGAGCTCAATGAACACAATTTGGACTAACAGTCCTCTTCGTTCGTAAGTAGAGGAGTGTCTGTATGTATCTACAGACAGCATGTGGAGAAAGCCTAAAGAGCACGGAAAGGAGACTGTAACGCCGAAAAACAAGTTAAAATTGAAACACAACCGCGGATAATCTATGTAGTTACCCATGAAATGAAGAACTATGGCCTTTTCTAAGAAACGCTTTTCAAAATGTGATCATAAATTGATGCTGTACAAGACTAAAAAGCAAACGCTTATGACATCAGCGCTAAAGCTTTCAGTAGATGGTCTCCTCCGCTACAAAAGCGCCCAGAAGTCATGCGTATGTTATTACATTAAAGTAAAGGGGAGTCACGTGTTATGCAATACGATATACAGGCATATTAATGGACTACACATGGGACCAGAGACGGTGGGGCTGGATTAATTAAGGAGACAAACGGTGGTCCCACGGAGTTTCACCTATGCACCCGCTAATTTGAAACTGCTTTCAGATCAGATTCATTTCATTCCGCGTTTCCCACATCTTTTATGTCTTTTGATTTGGTCCTTAGCCCCCTGTGGGTTTTGTTCCACCGCTTGCAAGCCGGATCCAGGTAAGCAAATGCTTTATGATAACTTAATAATAGCAGGTATACGGGTGACGTAATGTTGGTCGGCTTGGGGCCCGAATGATTGAACCACTGAAAGTTTTGAAAAGTGCTAGTTATACATAGTTTGCCCTCCAGAGGGAGTCAGAGCGTCGCTCCTTCTCTGTAAAGAGAGGCGTTTCTCCCTTAGACCTTTCACAAGGTAACAGCTTGGTACAGCACGATCGACCATGCATGTTCCTGCAATCACTCATCTGTACATGGACTCATTACTTTGTTATACAACTTTGTGTTATGAATTCAAGACAGATTTAATTGCGCCCCCATCCATCGCATTGTCCTGCTGAGCTCCAGCCGAGAACTAAGCTCCAAAGACTCCCCTGAGTCACATATGTGATCAGCGTTCATACTTTAGGGATCTCTGGAGCATTTTCTAAATTGAGTTTCACGAAATATGGCCATGTGACGGCGGAAATCGCATTAAATGCGAGCCTGGCAGGCTCTCGGAGGCACAAGGTATCCGGAAACCTCTGTGAATGCATTTTAAGAAGTAACGTGAGTCCCGTCCCTTTCACTTTCTTTCCCACGTTTTCGCCTGGACTCTTTGCCTTTGCGTTATATTTTAGCTGCTTTTGTATTACGCTGCTAATGCCGTCCAGGTTATACTGCAGCGACTCGATGGGGATAAACTTTTTATTTAACGTTGATTGAGTGGTTTAGATTCTTTCTGTTAATACAGCACTTTTTGGAATTGTTTGTAAGGCCACTTAAAATTAATAAATTGTTTAACATGGCCGCCCGCCTCAATTTTTTGGTGCCGCCTCGATTTTTTTTATATTTTATATTTTTCAAAAAATCAGTTTTTTTCACCTCAAAAACTGTGGGTGAAAAATCTTGAATGTCAGCCTCGGATTTTTCAATTTGACGCTTCTCGGACAATGGTTTTTATCGTTTGTCAGATTGTGTGTGGGCCCACGGTATTAAAATCTTGGCAGGGCATCAATATACCGAGTAATATTACCCTTCGCGAGCTGTTTGAGAACTTTTCTAGTTTTAGTATATCTCTGTTGCCGTTCGTCTTTTCGCTAAAAATATAAAATATAAAATCCCCTACTCACCAATATTTTAGAAGTTTGAGTCATGTAAAACAATTTATTAATTTCAAGTGGCCTAATGTAGAGTTATTTTAATGCAATTTTATTCAAGCTCCGTCAATCCAGACCTGAACTGAAACACTGTTTTACAAACAGTGAACAAAGATTAAGTAAGACAGTCTTGCACACTGAAAAAAATATAACACTGGTTTAACTTAAAAAAATTGAAGTAATCTGTCACACCTAATATTTTAGCATTGCTATAATGTAAATAAACCATTTACTGTAACCTTTACATTTTTAAATTCATGTAAACTAATTTCTGAAGGTGAAACAAACCAAATATTTAAAGTTGTTCTAAATCAAAATAAATTAGTTGGCTATATTACTTAATGTAAATATTCTACTAAATCTAACCTGAAATTATAAACTTAATATAAATCACTTTTGAATGTTTGAGCAAAATAACTTTAAGTTGCATCAAATAAAGTCTTAAGGCATTCATAATTTAAATATAAAAGCAAAAAAAACTTAATTACAATTTGATTTACACTCAGAACGCATTTCTTTATATAAACATTATTTACTGTGGAATGAACATATTTTCATCCAAAATGTTAACACTAAAAACTACTCTCTTCGGGTCCCGCTCTCTCCGTTCTGTAACTTGCTTCCCACACAGAGGCTGAGAGTTACGTTGGCTGAAAATGATTTCCAGTCAAGGATATGATGATATAAATATTGTAACAGTTCTCTTGAGAGAGAGCCGCTAATGACACACTCGCACACAAGTTACACTCCTTGAACCAGTAATGGAACCAGCCAGGTTTTATTGTTTGTTTTTACCAGCCTTTAAAAAGGCCAATCTGTTACCAGTGCGCCCCTTAGAGACTAGGATGCACACAAGCATAACCCTGTGAGCAAGCATGATAATAGAAGCCAGACCCACCGAGTTATCATTTGCCATACCTGTTACATCCATGGTGAGTCTGGACATCCATCATCAGCTTGCTCATGCAACACAACACAAAGAACATGTGCAGCTTGCTGTTTTACCTGCAAGCCCAGAACATGCACACATAATGAGCAAAACTCCAGCATAATCCCTGTTCCCATGATGCACCTCCCACAACAGCCAATGAGAGCTCCCACAGAACCATTACAATATGTTTAATGGAAATTGCTTAACTAACATTGACTGAAATACAGGTTCTGATATCTTTCCTTACTTGTTTCAACGTCATGCTCCCGTTTGAGGCGGAAGTAAAATTATACCGCCAAAACTACGTTTTAAAGACTCACGCTCAACCTAATAAAAGTGCTTTGATCAAAATTTTAAATTTCACTTTGGTTCCCTGATGTCAGTAGCATTATAGTAAAGTAAAAAAACAATTCACCCATAAGCGTAAATTAGACAGCTTAGTTTAAAAGAGCAAATTAATATTTTTTTAACTAATGGAATGAGAAAAAACACATTAAACAAACGACAGCTATGGTTTACTTTTTTCAGTGCATGTCACAGTGCAGATTTACCTTTTCAGTTATTAGAAATCAGGATTTGCAGAATAGTACCGAGCAGCCTATGTGATATGAATGGTGAAAATAAATTAGCGACTTGTCTCTGTGGAGCCATAATGAGGAGCAGGGCAATCTGAGGACCCTCTCCAGGACTTATAATTACACAGGCTGCTCTTCATTCTGCCACGGCACTGCATTAATGCCAAGACACTGCATTAATGAAGCTCTTAATGAGGCAGTTCACCTGGTGGGTGCAGGCAAGGCAAAAGTTTGTATAGGAGACCCAGATATCTATGAGCCTCGGTGGCTGAGAGGACTTCAGCTCTGCAGGACTGACTGTAGAGCTGGTGGCTCTCTGTGTTATGCTGCATAATGGTGCTGCATATGCAGTCCCAAGATGCTTTGCACGAAGATAAATTAAAAGTGTTAAATCGGCCTCAGTGGTATTCCATGATTGCGGCTTATTTAGAAAACGTTGGGAACTCCCAAGCTGAACTCTTGCGGTAACCTGACCTGTTTGTCCATGGCTTGATGACAAAAGTTGATACATGTCACTGTATTTAGTAGGGCTGTAATGGTACACAACGAATATGTGTACCATTTACAGCCTTACTACATTATCTTCGGTAGACTATGACCAATGAAACGCTTAAATACATTCATTGACTTTGTCCCAATTCTGGGGCTGCAACCTTCGATGGTCAAAAAGAAAGCATGGATAAATGGGACGATCTGGCCTATGGATGATTTCCTGTTTGCGTCACCAGCTCTTCCCGCCCTTACCCATGCATCACAAGGCGCTGATCCTGTCACCTTACGGGGACACACCCACTTCATCTTCACAGAATGGGCGCATCCTTCGCGAAACAGGAAAAGGACTAATTCCTAGGCCTCATTAGAAGGAGCCTTCGAAATGGGGCAGCTTTGTGGCGCTGTTGTGATGCATTTGGCCTTCAAATGCAGCCTTTGAAGGATGCAGCCTCTGAATTTGATCAGCAGCCAACTTTTGACACAAGCAGAACCTAAATTCAGAAGTAGATGTTCAACACGGAAAACCTTATGATTGGTCATGGCTAATGCTGGTAACATTTAGTCATAATTGGTGGGTTTGGGACATTTTGATTTCCCAGTAAAATACACCAACACCAGAGAGTGAGTAGCTGATAAGGCCTAGACGGCTCTGTTAGACCGAACTCTATGTTGCTGGAAACACACTCAATATACTGACTCATTCGAGATGATCATCTGAGTGTGTGTACATCCCAAGCAAGGCAGAAGCAACCTCTGCAAGTTAGTCTCCCTGTGGCATGAGGCGCTTGTGCCAGGTAATTCAGACCAGGCTAGTTACAGCTGTAGGGGTGTTTATGGTTACAGATATGTGACCATACTTGGTAGCAGATAACATGGGATTTAGTTCATTATGATTATTTGTCATGTTATCTTCTAGAAATTGGCAGTAGATCTTGTAGTTAACTTTCACATCAACAGTCCAGGGGATGGACAACCTTCAGTTGTGAAGGTTGGAGAAGTTCATGCCTGATATCTGTAGTCCACAGCATCGCTCCTCTACCCGCTTGCTAGTGCCTGAAGGTGTCCATCCCCTGGCCTGTCCATCACTCTAATCTCATCTGTCGGCGAAAACTTTGTAAAATCAGTCTCATGACGTGTCTGTGCCCATTCTTGACGTTTTAGCTTGTGTGCCTTACAGAGTTGAGGTTATGTTTCAGCCTTTGTGATCTTGGCAGTGTCACACAGCACACTGCACCTAGTACTTCCGGAGATTATGTTCAGATTGCAGTTTACTGTTAACTTTACTCTTGTTCTTTTCCACTCTAAGATCATTTTTTAGCTGCACGCAATTGCGCTACACAAATAGCTGCTCTATTTTTAAACAGTCCATTCTTTTTTGGAGATTAATCTGAACTGAAATAGTTGGACAGAAGAGAAGATAAAGCAAAATACACATTTGCCTAGTAATTCCTAGTATCTCAGGTCCTTGCAGGTTAATACATGTCAGTGGAATAGGTATGTGTATGTACATCGTGTCCATCCAGTAGCCGAAATGACACACTGTGGGGCGTAACACTGCAGTTTACAGCTGAACATGCTTATAAAAAACACTTTGATAAGTGAGGGAGGGAAACGACGCTCCATCATATCTCAGGTACATTTAATCCCGAATCTCCCCCAATATCAATGAGGACATGGGCCACCTTTCTACAGAAAGTGAAAGCTGTTGCCATGGCTACTGCTACATGTCACATGACAAGTCTTAGCCTTAGTTTGACAGGAATGTGTGAAATATTTCGCTGTGTGAAGGAGTTACAATGGGGAGTTATTTCGCACAGTAATGCGTAACTCACTGTGAATGGGACCAGCTGCTGAATGGATGTTAGTCTAATCCTTTTTCAAGTGCAGCTCATATGAATTTAAGTGAAATTCCTTCTCAAAAATCAAACTTTTTATTAAAGAAGAGTGGTTCTATTTTATCCTCAACGGCTGTTGTATTAAGTTTAATAACAGGTTATAGACTATGTATGCACAATATCCAAGCAATACTGAAAATGGTCGCAAGGAGGCAACAGTGTGTGTGTGTGTGTGTGTGTGGCATCACAAGAGAACTTCTATGATTCCCAGTTTTAAAAAATGGATTCCTACTTATACTCTTCAATGGAGAAATTTTATATTTTTCTTTGTGTGGACCCGCCCCCCCCCAGTTCTCATCAGTGTTGCAACCCCTAATGGTTCTTGTAAACTCTGCATTGGGAAGCGACGCTGTTGGTGGCAGCTGAACTTCGACACTGGAAATGAACAATAAAGGCGTTATGCCGAAGGTTGCTGATTTAATGCCTGTGGAGGGCAGGCGTTTGATAAGGGCATTGATCCTTCAGGCCGATTCCTGACGCTCCGCCATCGTGCACTGCGTACTAACAGCACCTGCGGCACGCCTCCTCTCTCTCTAGCCCATTTTCATTCTCTCCCTCCCTATTTTCTGCCTTAGAAGGGTGTTGCTGAGATGTATTAAATCTCGGGTTCACATTGGAGACCAAGCTTTCCACGCAGCCACTTAGGGAACAGTGCAGAGATGACAGACTGACGAAGCCGACCGCAGCGGGCTTGTGTGGGTACTGCCCTGAATCCCAGTTATTCTTATATATATATATTTCATCCAGCATTCTCTCAATAACATATGAAAGCAGTGCTCCCGTTAGTCATGCAGATGCTTGTCTGACAAGCAGGGGGCGTAATGGTTAAGAATGTGTACTTGCAACAAAAACCTGCTGAGTCAGGGTTCTGTGGTTGTACCTTTATATCAGCAGATAGGCAGTGTCACAGACCGCTAGAGAGTGAAAGCAGGAGTTGTTTGATTAGCTGGTAATAAGTGAGGCACAGAGAAGCTTTTGCACAAATGACCACTGCTGGCTTTAATGAAACCACACGTGCTTTGTAAGTCAGCTTGAGTACAGGAGCGTGTCGGTGACTACTGGCCGTGAGATTGGCATTACCGCTGGCTTCAATCTGCCTGAGCTCTCAAACGCTCTTTTATTTCCCAGGTTAAAGGGAAAAATCAAAACTTCAAGGTTGTGAACAACTTAACATGCCAAACAGCATGTGATTCCTCCTATGTGGGGGAGCTGGAGCCGATCCCAGGCAGAATAGTCCACTTGGTTCGGATACAACCTGACAATGATAGCAGACCCCTGCAGGACACATCCACAATGAGAAAGCTATTACCAGCAATTCACCCAACTGCACGATTTATCACTTGTGGAGTGGGATTTCAACCCCCATCCCAGAAGGTGTGCGGCAACAGTGCCACCCATTGGTTAGGAATTGTACTACACATTTTTATTTTACAGAGATTGCAGTGGACTTACTGTTGTATGATGCCGGAACGGCAGAGAAAGGCGACCGCCGCTACCAGAGAGGGACAGGATTGCACAGGCGGTCCCAGTGGCAGGCCGAAGGCAAGCCCACTGATCTTGTGCTCCCAGCATAGACGTGTGACTGGGGAGGGGCCATGTTAATGATTGGCGAGGCTCGGGGGCAGCAGTGCAGGCTGGGTGGCCGTGGGCCTGGCACACGGCGTGCAGGCAGGAGCTCCGGAAGGATCCGCCGCAGGGTGAGTGCTGGAGATTAACCGCGGTGAAGGTGGCTCATGGCCGCGCCGCGCCGCTTCGGCCAGGCAGGACATGCTGCCTGAGATTTATTACCTGACATCGTCGGGCTCCAGGAGGGCAGGTGCTCCTTTGAAGCGCCAGAGGCTCGGCTGGGGCACCACCGTAAACACCTCATACCTCCACGCCTAACCTGTGGGGGGCGCCAGGTGGTGTTTAAGGCTTTGACTGGTGCTGCTATGATCCCTCTCCCCTGGGGGGGGAGCGGCCGGTGCACCTCCAAGCCAGGCACCTGACCCGGATAGCTTCAGTCTCCCGGACAACCGTGTAATGCTGGCAGCTGGAGGGCCCTGTGAGGGTCACCATAAAGCCAGCATGCTCTGCGCCGCGGTGGGGCTGCTTGTCCTTTCCCATGTTCCCCAGTTTATGCTCAGTATGTGCTGTTAACCAATGGTGTTGTGCATAAAGTTCACATGACCTCCTGAACTGATCATTCATGTTTAGTCTCTGTCTCCCTTTTGCCATTGCAAACGTGGTGTTTCTGTATTCATTTAGAGAAAATATATTTATTATGATTTTAGCTCATTTCCGGTTTTATTTACCAGTTGCTGTCAGGGACATAATTGTTTACAGATGGAGGTAAGTATTTGGGGGTTGGCAGAGTACCTTTGCTTACTCTTGCAGCAGAGGTGACTGGGGCTCTAGGCTAGAGTTTGACCTCAAATGTCTATTTACACTGGATCACCCCAACCCCAAGTAAACATTACAAAATGGCATGCAACACCGCCCCCTGCAGGCGTGCCCGGGTCACTTGCTTGCCATAAAATCCGTTAGAAACCCTCCCTCACTGCCTGCGAGGCCCAATTCACAACTTACTCTCCGCGCGTCCTGTAATTTCAGCCGCAGAAGCTGCATAATTAACATAATTTAACATGTAATGAAAATGAGCCGCAGTGAAAACATTGGAAAGCAGCTGCAGTGCTGGCGGGGATGGGGGTGCGCGCCTGGGCATCTGCCCCGCGCCCCAAGTCGACGCGTCTGGCTCTCTGCCAGGGTATACTGAATGGCCTTGACTCCGTCGGCTCCCGCTGTTTTGTGTTTAGCTCTCCTGCTTTTCAGCCTCCCCTGTTACCCAGTGCATTTGGACTCTGCTGCGTAGAGGAGAGGATGCAGTACTGTGTCACCTCAGACTGGACCTGCCGTGGCCCGGTCCGCTGGTGGCTGTGGGGGGGTCAGAGAGTTATGGTGGGGCAGTGACACAGCACAGCCTGTCTGTCCCGCACGATGGCATTGCATGAAACGCAAACAGTCATTAAATGTGTTCAAGATCCTGAAGGTCCGGCAGCCATTGTGTCCTTAAGCTGGGTGCACCGTTAAATCCGAGTTGCATCAGTACTCAAATGAGAGGAACATTTTAATCCACATATAAGATGCTTTGGGTAAAAATGGCTGCTGCAGGCAGACTGCCGGTTAACCGTGATGCTGCCGGTTGGGGTGATGCTCTCATTCAGTTCCTAATCACATCTGAAACAAAAAAAAAGACATTTAAAACCTCCTCTGATTGATTGTGGGGCTTCCTCCAGCAGGTCTGGGTTCGAGGGGCTCTGTAGCTGATAGTCACAGATGTAAAGGACAGTAGCTGTTACCTAATCTGACAAGGTACTTTGATCTTTTTCTGTGACCGGATGCTTCCTGGGAACAACCTAATGAGATTTATAGATTCACTAAGTGTAACAGCGAAGTTTTCAGCTGGGCTGGCACCGCAGAATCCACATGTTGCTATATTGGGCAGCACTGTAGCCTCACACCTCTGCGGTTGTGGGTTTGAATCGTGCCCCCGCCCAGGGGGTGTGGAAATTGCCTGTTCCCTCATTTCACATGGATTTCCTCCCGCAGTACAAAACCAGTACAAATACACTGTGATTAAATAGGAATGATAGAAATATAGATGGGGAACAGCTCAGTGTCACCATACACTGTGATTAAATAAGAATGATAGAAATATAGATGGGGAACAGCTCAGTGT